AAATTTCTCCCCACACTTCCCACGCACTCCGCTTTCCTCACCTAATTTCTTAACTAACTTCCCACACTCCTCAAATATAACTCGTTCGGTCTCTGGCTCAAGGGTGAAATGAACATTCGATGAAACAAACTTTCGGTGAAATGGGTGTCGACAAAATGATTGTCGACGAAGTAAACACGACCATTGGAAAATTATTTCATTCTTATACCAATCTTGATTGTCATCATATTGTGCGTTGTCGAAGGGAAATTTCCAATCTACCTGATCATTGTAATTGTATGCTTCGCTCTGTACAATTTAAAACGGAAAATGATATCGCTCTTAATTCACTGAAGGATGTGCAAGAACTTCTATCTGAAGATGTTAATCGAAAATTTGATGATCTATCCAAAAAGATTCAATTGCTATACAAAGAGATGCAAGAAAAATGAATCGAGGGAGATGGTTCAAGTATTTTATCAAATATTTCTCAAGGTAGGCGTTGCATTCATCATTTTTTCAGTGTAGCTGGTACAAGGTTTCACGCCTTCCATATCAATGATCCAGATGTTAACCGTTTTGCATTTATCTGTTCCAGCCTCGATCAGTTAGTCGTCTTCAAATACTGCTCTTGTGCAAAAATTCAAGAACCTTTTCGATGAAGCTATTTAAAGAAATTATAAGCAATCTAAAAAAAGAAACAAAAATAAAAGTTATCGGAGCCAAAGCTATTGAAAATTTTTATGATGAAACAGCAAAACCCGATCACAGAACCACAGGCATGATAAAGACTTGGATGCACTTAAAACTAAAGAAAAAAATAAACTTATAAGTAATAGTAACTATGAAGATAATACATATGTAAACTCAATAAGTCAGTCATGTGGGGGTGAGCTCATATGACTGACTTATCGAGTAAACTGACTTATTGAATTAAATTACTTAAATATTAAGAAAATGAGGTGAAAATTTTGGCTGACTTATTGAGTAAACTGACTTATCAAGTGACCAACTTATCGAGTTTACATATGTAATGCCAACGAGATATTTGATTATAATAATAGTAATAAATAGTTTTTAACCTGGTAGAGCCAAAGTATAGGGATGTAGGGGCCGTACGTTCCCTCCCTTGCAACTCTGCCATCTTTCATGAAAAATTAAAGAACTGGCAATTTAATTAATTGTGTTAAAAAAACTGATGATTTAAAGGACTGGTGATTTATATAATTATGTTAAAAAACTGATGGTAGAAATTGAAATATGTAATATGTTTTTCTTTAAAAAATGTTGGATGTTAATGCAAATAAAGTCATTGTTTTTAAAAAAACAGCCTTTTCAAATCAAATGATTTGTTGACTTTGATAATTCACAAAAAAATATATAAATATACTTTGTATTTGATTACTTCAAAGAATTATTCTCAAATAAAACAAATATATAAGAAAAAATAAAAAAAATTATCTATGAAAAAATTATCTATATATGAGAAAATAAAGTAGTTACACAGAAAAACTTTTTTGAATTCAAGCCTTATCTATTATTATTATCAAACAATACTACTCAGAAACTTCAATTTTTTAATTTAAAATGAACAAATTCGCTGCTTTTACCAAAAAATTTGAAGATTCTATCTGTGAAGAAGGTATGCATCATATATGTGTAATCTTTTGCTTATTTCAATTACTCAAAAAGTTATACATTCAATTAAATAACTATAGATTCTGACACATCTTGCACTCACTGCAATTCAAATCAAGATAATGGTAATTTTCAAAATTTTCTTTCTAATTATATACAATTTGACTAAATCTTATTGTATTATATATTTTTTTTTTAGGCGAAAATTATCCACATTGGCCCTGTGGGAACACTATTTATAAATATAAAGAAAAACCAAGAGATTGGCTTCAGAGTGGTTGGGCTTTAGATAGTGTCGAATCAAAAAAACAGACCACATATAATGCTCAAATTAATGTTAAAAAATGTTTTGGTTTCAATGTGAACAATGTAATGCTCAAACTAGACCAAAAACCAAAAAACATGGGAAAAGAGCAGAAGAGCAACTTGATAAAGGTTGCCCAGTACCTACATGTGATGGTATATATATTAATTTATTAATTAAATATAGATTTTAAATATAACTTAAATAATAATGTATTTTGTATTTTTTGATTCATTTTTGGGTTCTTTACAATGGATTCAGTGTATTGTGAATTGTAAATTCATCACATTAGAAAAACCTGATGAAAACGGCTTTACTTATTATTTATTACACTATGGACATCACACTCATCAAAAATGTTTGCAAAATAAGCCATTTAATCAAGAAAAAGATCAATTAAAAAAACGCATCTCTGCAGCACCTGAAACCTTTCCCAAAAAAATGCAAATGGGACAATCATTGGATAATAACAACCCACTTGCTTCAATTAGAAAAATATCTGAAGCTTTTTCAAACACTGATAGAATTGCTTATTATTGTTTGCAAATAATCAATGAAGAAAACATCATCACCAAAACAGCTTGTCGACATGGAGACAATTTCATCTTGGACATTTTACAATTTCAACAAGACCACCCGAATTTATTAGAAAGGCTGATTTTACCAACAAAGGTGTGATTATGTTACAATCAGATTGGATGCAACAACAAGGCTTTTCAAATAATAACTTTCCAGGCATTATTACAGATAGCACTTACAAATATTTTTCAAATGCTTTCTTGTTGTCCAGGTGTGTGATTGAAAGATTTTAATAAAACCGACTTTATTATTCATTACTCATTTATTTTAATTTGAACAATAGTTCTTTATATTGCCCTCTTCTGGGAAGATGGATACCAATTCTGATAACAGTAATTTTAAAGGAGGATAAAGTCCACCATTAAGAGCACTTTAAATATTTATTTCAGTGGATTGATGACCATTGTGAAAGTGAAACCAAAAATTGTGACGATTTTTTATGCACAGGTTATAGATTTTAGCATGGCTGAAAAAAGAGGATTAATTGATGCATTCATTGAGCATAAATTGGAAAAAATCAAATTATCTTCATATTCTAAAGTTCTCTTAGATTCACATAAAACTATATTGGAAAAAGAAGCATTGGCCTTCTTAAAAGGATGTCAGGAGCATTACAAACAATCTATAACAAGAATTGCACAAAATAGTGCAATTGTAAAACATGAAGATTCAACAAAATTTTGATCAATGACATTAAAGCTCTTAAAAATCAATTTTGAAGATTTTTTTGAACAAGTTGGAGAGATACAAGAAAATTGGCCAAATTCCACTACCTGGCTGGAATGGTGGGTATATACTGATGCAGGTAAAATCCTTTTCCCTGCATTAAGTACTATGGATGAAGGTTTATACAAAAAATTACCAGGTTCAACTAATGCCCAAGAATCAATGCATTCTCAATACTATATGTGTGGAGCTACAAATCAATCCATTATAACAGGTATTTAATAAACAACTTAATTAATTAATTGATATTCCAAATAAATATTAATCTTAAATTTATTTTAATTAGGTCTTGAAAATCTCCTGTTGTTTGTGATGTCCTTGGAGGTAGATTATGAGAATAAAAGTAAAGGCCATTCTTTGAAGTATGGTGAAGAAGAATGATGGAAAAAAGTTGCTGAATTATATGGCACCACCAAACCATCCAAGGGAAAAAGTTCCAAAGGTGCTGGTGTAAATGATTGTAGACCACCGGATACTGAGGTTCTTTTGAAAAACCAGTCTTCTAAGAACATTGATAAAGATAATGGAGATTTAAGTGTTTCTGATAAAAAAGAACAGAAACAGAAAGCAAATGAACTTCCAAAAAAGTATCAATCCTATCCACATTGGAGAAGTTCATGTTATATTACCTCATTCTTAGAATTTTTATATACAAATTATCTTCATACAACGATGTGGTGGACAACAAATGTTGGAGTAATTCCAAGTAACTCTGGACTAAAAAAATTATATACAAGTTTTACCATTCGAGACACTGTCAATACTCCAGGAACTAAAAATGTAAAATCCACTTTTAATGAAGCTTGTGAAATTGTCTGTCGCCATGTTCTAGAAAAAAAATGGCAAGAAGATAACCAATTTGGATCATTAACTCATTGGTTTGAAAATATTATTTTAGAAGAAAAGAATCAACAAAGCTTATGGCACAATTTTGTGTCTTTGGATTACAAATATGGTCATGTAAATCTGGCCATGTCAAAATTTCTCCAACACCTATCAAACCACTGTTTCCAATAAATGGAATTGATGAATTTGGTAGCTTTTTTTTTTGAAGATAATCCAAATCTAATAGGCCAAGTCTCTGCATTATTTGCAGAAAAGAATCAATTAATTAGTAAAATATTTCCAGATCAACCTTGTCCTTATAACCGTGCAAATCTTTATCAATGTATTAATCAAGAAATATCCTATGAAGAATATATAATATTTTGGCCACATACCTTAATATTTGAAATAACTTAAAGAGATGGTTAAAATTATAATTCATCTCATCAATTAGACTTCCCTTTTCAGCTTTGTTATGAAGAAAATAACATCCCTATAGAATATATATTGTCAGCACATGTATGTAGCACATCATCAAGTGGACAGCATTTCTACAGTAAAGTAATTCGAAGCTTTAATGATCAAAGTGGTGTTTATAAATATGATGACTTAAATGAAGGAGGAATGGCAGTATTAGAATCAAAAGATTTGACTTCTTTATCAGGAAATAAACCACAAACTGTATTGGTTGCTTATAGATTAAAGGATTCTAATATTCACTCTATTTATTCTAATAACAAAACAAGTTAGTATTAGTATGATTAATTAATTAATAAATTAATCAATAAAATTATTAATAAATAAATAAACAATAACATCTATTTGCAGAAACTTTCCTGGAAAAATTAAACAGATATAATATAAAAATTCCAAATGAAGAAACCCTTTCAGGAATAGACTGTGGGTAAAATTTCAATAAAAAATACATGATTTTCCTGTCACTTATCAAATGATTTTAATATATTATGCATTTTTTCTAGTAATTGAATACTTTTGGGATAAAGTTCATCAATATTACAATACTAACAATGAAGGTGAAGATGATGAAATAATTCAAAAGGAGTCTGAACCTGATTCATCTAATAAAAAATATAAAAGGTAATTAATTCATTGCAACTTGCAACTATTTTATTACATGAAAATATTAATATTAACAATATTATATTTCACTTTAGACCTAAAATTGACACCTCTATAGTTCGTCGTAGTAGTAGAATTAGAAAAAATATAAAAAAATAAATTATTGTGTATAAATTATTATCATCTTTATTTTTTATTTTATTTATTTCATTTATTTTATTTATTTCATTTCATTTATTTTATGTATATTAATATATCAAAAAAATAAAAATGCCATCAAAAATTTTTTTTTGCAGATCCCTGTCCCCTGTCCTTTTCCAGATTTGATAGGTGAATATTGAAAAGCACAGGGTACAGGTCACCTGTTCCTTGTTTGCGCCACGCCTGTCCCCTGTGCTTTTCAAGATTTTTCGCATATCACCTGTGCCACTCGCCTGTCCTTTTCTAGATTTGATGGTGAAATCTTGAAAAGCACAGGGGACAGGCGAATTTTGCAGATCCCTGTACCCTGTGCTTTTCATCGGGCCGAAATCAATCGTTGACCTTTTTATATTATGAAACTTGCTATTTCAATTGAATTTAGAATAGGAAAAAGTTGCATGACTGCACACAAAACCCATTTTATGGAAAAAAAAAATTTTTTAAATAGATACATCACTTTGACTTCTCTTTATATTTTTGGTAAAGCTTGATCAATTTGATAAATTTGATTTCAATAGGTTACCTTAGAAGTAAAAGTTTAAGGCATCTGTGATATTGTATGCCAGAATTGTGACATTATTATTATTTATTGTTTTTTAAATATGAATGATAACATTTTCCTTTATTAATAAGTAATGCAGGTAAATAATTATTCTATATTCTCATTATTATTATTATACTTTAAAGAAATATGTATTTATTTTATATATTTGATGATCATACAATAGGTTATATCTTGATTTTTTATGATGCATTTAAAAAACAAGGATTTTTAAACAATAATAACAGATATACTCAAGGTATAATTATAAAGTGATGTATACAATTTAAAAATGTATTTAAAATATATTTCTTTTATATTTATATTTATATTTATATATATATTTACATTTATTTTTATTTTTATTTTCAAATTCATATATCATATTCATGCCACCAATTTATTAATTTATAGGAAATATCACATATGTATAGTGCAAGAGGACCCCGAACAATCTTAGTAAATGGTACATTTCAATTTTGAGTAGAATCACCTTTTTTTTTGATGATGGTATATTTGAAAAGCAGGTATTGGCCTCAAATGGTACATTTGAAACTGGATATTGACCTCATATGGTACATTTGAAAATAGGGTGGTTTAAGAAATTTTCATAAGGGTGTATTTGAATTTGGGTAAATTTAAGCAGTGTGATGATTTTTTCCTTTTTTATATATAAATAAAAAATATAAAATGGTAAAATATACCAACAGCATCTTTTAACAATGAATATGTTTGAAAAGTTTCTGAAGATGGTACTAATGTTACATGTATTTGTGGTAGTAAAATAAAATTAAAGTGTCCTCATGATGAAGATTATATAAATCAGCATGTAGAAAGTGGCAGGTGTAAAAGAAAGAAAACACCCAAGAAATTACTAAATTTTTTCAAATTAATACACAAAATCAGTAAGTCATCAGTAAAATTTTTTTCATGCATTGGTCTTTGTGTTGATAAGTATAAAGCATATATTGAATATACACAACTTACTGCAACTCATGGTGGTGCACCTCCATGTCATGAAATGGCACATCAACTATTTCCTTTGGTTTTTCCTATAGGTTTAAAAATAAAATATCCAAAATTAAAATCTGATCAACTAGAATGTCTTGAGCAAGAACTTGTTAATCAATCAAAATGGTGAATTCAAGGTCTGTCAATTCAAAGTACAAAATGTAAAAAGGACACTGCATGCACTTCCAAAATTTGTATTGAATGTCAAGATCTCAAAAATGATAAAGTTTTTAAGGTATTATAATTTAGTAAATTTATTATTTAATTATATACTAAGGGATACTTTCATTATTAATTCACTAAATAAAAAACATATATATACAAAAAATTATAAGTTTATCTCTAAAATTAGCTTGCATAGCAGTCCAATATCAAGATATATAACTAATAGTGATGTTATGCAGCTTATACAACAAATCAATAATATTAATCTAGAAGCTGAAGAATCTTTTTGGTTAAAGCTTGCTGAACTGGGTGAAAAAATATCATTTAAAAAACAGTCTACATTTGGATGTCTATGTAAAGCATGCAAAATTTGTATTTTTCCAAAAAATATTCAGATCTTATTACCATTTTATCATCTTTAAGTACTTGTGCATATAATGCTTTTCAAAAAAATCTAGCTGGACATGAAATTCAAAATATTAGATAAATTAAAATTAAGCATTTATTATTTATTGTTATCCTCTATTTCCAATAACTATTAGTGGTTTTGGTATTTCTGTCATAAAAAAACATTACATGTATTATTCAAGTAGTGTATCTTTATTATAAAAATGGTAATTATCATTCTTTTGTAGAATCTCATTGTGAAATTGATTCAATATCCTATATTTCATGTTGAGTTTTTTTACTCTTCAATTTAACCTTTTTTTCTTGTTTTTCTTCTGATGGTTTCACTATCATGTGTCATTTACATCCTTCTTCATTATTATATTACTTGGGTTATGGTGATTTTGCATTTCATGATAAGCCACATGGTTATTAACATTAAATGGGATAGCTTTAGAGCAATTTCAATTTTTTAATCAAAGATCAATTGAAAATAATTCTGGGAAAAAATAATTATTTTTTAAATTTAGTGGAAAGAAAAATTACTGTTTTTTTCACATATGGTATATTTGAATTTTGGGTATTTTTCATATTTTTTGGGTAGAGAAAAGGTGATTTACTATTAAACCACAAATGTACCATCTACTAAGATTGTCTGGGGTCCTAGTGCAAGTTACTTAGTCCCACAACTTTCTGTGCCACGCCACCAATTTTGAGAATAAATTTCCAATCAAAAATGCAATAAAAATTTAAAGTCACATGATTTTTGAAGATTGTCAAGTGGGGGCAGTGTAAAAAATTGGAGGGGCGGAAGGGGGCGGGTCTCACGTTACACCACATATGTGTGACTAAAAATATGTGCAGAAAAAATATTTACATTAAATTTATTAAATTTGAAACAGCTTTTCTTTTAACATTGTTTTATTATGCTTTACATTTTAAATATTACCCAAGAAAATATAATTTAATATTGTTTTGAATTAAGTATTTTGAGATGACTTCCTAACATAACTAATGATGTTTCTTTAATAATAATATCTTTTTTTGTAATTTTACCAAAAATAGAAAACGAGGATATTCAAAGGTTTTTCTTTGTCCTAAAACCAGAAAAACAAAAAAAATATCACTTGCTTGTCATTAATAAAAAGCATCTACCCGAAGTTAAAAGGCACGAAAGTTATTTTCTTTTTGTTGATAAAGTAAGTGAAAGCAGAAAAACACTTTTGGAAATATTGTGTTTTGAACAATTATAATTATTATAAATAAATGTAATTTTTACTATAGAGTTAGTTACAAAAAAAAAAAAAAAAAGCCTGAAATTATTGAATTATCAGATGATGAAATGAATAATTATGTTGAAATTAGAGAATTAGAAATAAAAAGATTACATTATAGAAAAAATATTGATAAAGATTGGTTCAGCAAATATACATGGTTTATAGATGCTGGTCGCAATTCTTGGTGACGGTTGCAACCATATTTGTGACATATAAAAATGGTTTGTGACACCTGGTTGCAACCACCTTTGCAACCACTTTGGTTTCCTTTTTTGGATTGCAACATGGAACACTAACATGGTTAGAATCTGAAGAAAATAATCAATAAATTGCAAACTTTGTAGAAATAGAAATGGTACTCTGTAAAAATTTACCTTCAATTTTACAAAAATACTGAATTGGAATTTATTCAATTGTGGAAATACATTTTGGATAATGATGAACTTTTTCTTTTAATTATCCAATAACAACAATTATTCTTCATTATACCTCTTTCTAATGCTCATTTGGAAAGGATACTCTCACAACAAAATTTAATAAAAAATAAATTAAGAAATAAAATGAATATTGTTACTTTAAATAATCATTTGATGGTACTATTAAATGGGTCAGAAATAGAAAATTTGATTTTGAAAAAGTATATATACAGTGCGGATCATCTATACTCAAAAGTTTAAATTTTTGAAATATTATGTGATCCACACATCGGATTTTAAAAAACTTACCAACATTCAATTCAGCTTTAAAAGGGGAGTCTATTAATCTAAAAAAAAAAAAATTTGTCTCAAATTTTCTTTTCATAGATTTTTTAAATTTGAAAGTTAGGCTCAGAAGAACATAGCAGGCTTTCTCTGTGATTGGTTGATAATTTATAATATGCTGATCGTTTTTATTTATTACTTCCAAGACAATAAATAATATAAAAAATAGATAGATAGATTCTTAACAATAATTTTATTTGTAATTGGTAATAAATAATTCAGCAAAAACATTAATGTGGGAACTTTTGCTATAATAATAATTGCAATGAAAAAAATATATAATAAAGTACACATATGGTACAAATATCCCATATCAAAATGACTAATTTGAGAGAAACAGCATATCCCACCCATCACATAAAATAATATGTTGAATGAAATTTGATGTTTGATATAATCAATAAATGTATCATTTACTCACTACCTACAATATATTAAACTATTATGCAATTCTTATTAAATATTAAGTAAATTATAATATTTAAATTTGTTCATGCATTCACCATAAAACTAATAACACACCAGACATAATCACAACCATTCTACAACCATTGTGCATACCTTCTTTTTGT